ATGTTTGACCCTCAGCCCTTTCCCCCTCTCCCGTTTACACTATCTCTGTTATAAACAGTTGTCTTCCAGAGGGGTCATTGAAAATGCGATACCTGCGAGTAGAGGGAGAGGGGCCACGAGTCCAAAGTTTTTAACAATAGGGAAAACAGATTCCATTCAAGGTTGGATCAAGGGTGGGTCTCGTGCAGTTCCGCAATTGTAGGTGAGGCTCCATGGAATACAGTTTCAGGAAAGCGGTTCTGGTTGTGGGGATCTGCAGCGTGACTTATCCTTGGGTATCTGGCTTCCCTAAGAATGGTAGGGTAGTTCCTATTCTTCCCTGAGGTAATACAGGGCTGGTAGCCATCATCTTCTCACTGTCCATAGGTAGATAAAATCCTTCTATACAGTATATTTCTCAATTGGTTTAAGACAGCTAAAGATTCTTTCTACTCTGTCTACTAAGAGTCTAGAAGCAATGATGACTGTTTTACTCCATTTTTTTTCTGTTGCTAACAGCTAAATACCATGCTGGGTAATTAAGAATAGAAGTTTATTCAGCTTATGGTTCTGGATGTCGAAAGTCAAGGGGACACATCTGGTGAGGTTCCTCTTTCTGAGAGGGTCCATGCAGAGTTCTGAGGTGGCACAGGGCATTACATGGTGAGAACTTGTGTGTCTGTGTCCCTGTGCTTCTGTCTCACTGTCTTTCCTTAAAAACTCGCCAGAATTCATGACCTTACCTAATTCTAATCACTTGCAAAGTCCTCACCTTTCAACACCATAGTTACATTGAGTTTTCACCCCCTAATCTCATCACCATCATTTTTTTAGAGTTATTTTAACTTTCTTTCTTTTCTTTCTCTCTCTCTCCCTTCCTTCCTTCCTTTTTTCTTCTTTCTTCTTCTTTTCTTTCTTTTTCTTTCTCCTTTCTTCTTTCTTTTTTTCACCAGGGGAGGGGGAGAGAGAGAGAGAGAGAAAGTGAGAAAGCAAGCCGCCAGGTCAGAGACTTGAATTATGGTCTGCTATGTGGGAATCCAGTGCCCTTAACCACCACATTGCCTACCGGCCCTGATCACCATCAGTTTTCAACACATAAATTTGGGGGGACACATTAAAACCATAGCAATAATCCCATAGCAATCTGCACACCCAACCCCAGCTTTTGTTTTCTTTCTTTCTTTCTTTTTTTTTTAAGAATTATTTTATTTAACTTTATTTATTTATTTAAATTTGACCAGACAGGGACAGAGAGAGAGAGAGAAAGTGAGAAAGTAAGCCACGAAGTCCAGGACTTGAACCATGGTCAGCCATGTGGGAGTCCAGTATCCCTAACCACCATCCCACCTGCTAGCCCCCTCAACTCTTGTTTTCTAACATCATTTTCCAACAAAGGGAAATAGGCATTTTGGAGAAACGGCTGATCCTGGGGCTGGGAAGAGAATACATGAGATGAAATTACAGCATCTTATAAAGTCAGAAAATAAGAAAGAGGTTATGCACATGTGCACACGTGCATGCACACACAAACAAATGCCCATGCACAAACACATATACACACATGCACACACAATAAGGTCATGTCAAAGGGATACAGGAGCCATTTCAAAGCCAAAGCTGGAACAATAGGACCAACAAAATAAATTATGCAATTGAATTACAGCCCAGAGAACATGTGGGCTGTGCTTGGTGACTTGCTTCTAGAGTGCAGTGTGGAGAGGGACAACGAAGCACCATTCTTGTGGAAAAACCTGGCAAACATGGCCTCAACCAGGGGATCTAAGTGATAAGTCGTGCTGGTGGCCTGTACACTTGATGTGGTGTGAGCGGTAGGGCACCTCACCTCTGGCATCTTCTTCCCCCAAACCCACTACCTTGGTATAACTCCAAGATAAATCAAACCAGCCCAAATTGAGAGACAGCCTATAAAGTATCTGGCTAGTATTTCGCAAACCTGTCAAGGTCATTCAAGCTGGGAAAGTCTAAGAGACTGTCACATCCCAGAAAACATGATGGCTAAATAATATGTGGTGTCTTGGACTGAATCCTAGAACAGAAATGACATTAGGAAAAACTAAGAAAATACAAATAAAGAATGATGTTTAGTGGGAACCAGTAGTTAGCGTAATGGCTATGTCGCTGGATTCCCACATAGTCAACCACAGTTTGTGTTCCGGACCCGGTGGCTTAAAACTCACGCCGGGCGCGTGTGTGTGTGTGCCCAAGATCCTGAGAGGAGAATGGAGGAGAAGGGATTGCAGCATGACCATCCTCTCTTGGGGGTGATTTCTTGCTTTCTGTCTCTCTGTCTCTCTCTGTATGTCTGGTGAGTGCACGCACCCTATAGTGAAAACCTCTCCAAAAAAAAAAAAAAAAAAGAATGATGTTTAGTTATTAATGATGTATTATTATTGGTTTATGAGTCATGACAAATACTATAGTGATAAAAGATATTATCAGCCTTTCTGTAACTTTACTACAAATCTAAAACTCCTGAAATAAAATGTAGCTCGCAAAGGACAAGAGAGAACAGTTCTCCCAGGCTCTGCACCTCTCCTCATAACAGAGCATGACTTACACTGTGGTAAAGAGCACATCAGCTGCTGGAGGGGGCGCCTGCAAGGAAAGCACAGGCAGGACCTTGACTGACTTGGCCTCCGCCTGAATTGCCCACCTGTCCAGTTCGGTTGGCCAAGGAAGAGTGTGATACCAACAGAAATCAGCTTGAGGTTTGGCATTCACATTTATTTTGGATTTTTTTTGCTTGAGTACTCTTATCTCTTTAAGAAAAAAAAAATTGTTTTCAATGAGAGAGAGACAGGTGCCCACAGCACGGTCTTCACACCACCATCTACCCCCAGCCTCAGCAAACTCAGATCTTGAGCACTGGTGTGTAGGCCCAGTATGCACGGTGTGGTCTCAGGACAAGAACCTAGGACCTTCTCATGTGGGCCTGGTTGTGTTACAGCTGCACCACCATCTAGCTCCTGATTACATTTCTTTTCTGAAAGAAATAGTTCACTTCCTACGGCCTCAGTGTGCTTTCTGGCCTAACTCCAGTTGGCTGTCTTAGCAAAATGCCAGTGACCGGCTTACACAACAGAAATTTATTTTCTCACAGTGGAGGCTGATGTCCAAGATCGAGGTGCCAAAGGCGTGACCCTTTCTTTTATTTCAAGGATATTTATTTAAGTTATTTAAGTTAAGTTTTATTTATTTTTAATTTAGGCACAGGGCATGTGCACTCACCAGAGAGACACAGAGAGGGAGAGAGAGAGGGAAAGTAAATCACCCCTCTTCTGCACAGGGCATGGTCACATCACAATTACTTCTCCGTTTTCCTCTTGGGATTTTGGGCATGCATGCACATGTACCCAGTATGTTTTTCAAGCCGCTGGGTCCAGGATTTGAAATGGACAGTCAGCCATGTGGGGTCCAGCCACATTAACCCCCATGCCACTGTCTGGTTCGATCTCAAGGATATTTAAATAGTTGTAAAGCATATAATCCCCAGTGTATCCTAAAGATTTGAATTTTAAATAAAAAGTATAAATTTATTCAACAAAATCTAAACACCATAGTACTTGGGTGACTTTCATCCAATTCTGAAAAATGACAAGCACTTCCATTTTTCACTTTGACTTTTTCATTGCCTTCTTATTTCCCCCTTCCACTTCTTGGCCTGAACTTTATTCTAAAGTCTTTTATTTTTTGAAGAGAGATTTTTGCTGTAAGGCATGTGTGCTTGCTGGAGAGGCAGAGAGAGTGACAGAAAGACAGAAGGCAAGAAATCACCTCCCCCCCCCAGGGGGATGACCACACCACAATCTCTTCTCCTCCATTCTCCTCTTGAGATCTGGGACATGCCCACACGTGCCCAGCATGAGTTTTAAGTTGCCAGGTCTGGGACTCGAACCGTGCTCGACTATGTGGGAGTCCAGCAACGTAACCATTGCACCATCTGCTGGTCCCCAAAGTCCTGTCTTTTTATCACTCCCCATCCCATAGGCGTTCTCAGGTACAGTAGATTTAGAGATGTGTGGACATGGAGAATCTGGGCCCACCGGGCAAGGAGTGGGCACCACGGGTATGGGCACCATGGGTATTACTGGTCCTGGCCATTGTCCCTCAGGGGGCTGCACGTGAAGACAGCAGAGCAGGCAAGTAGGGTCCCCTACGTGGGGATCAAGGCAAAGAATGCAGAATAAAAGGCACTGAAGATGGAGGGGCGGCAGAAATTAGCCTTAGGGGAATGCAGAGAATAAAGTATGGATGATGAAGGACCGGCTCAGCAGCCGGCAGAGGTTGGGGTGGAGGGGTGAGTCCAGAGCCATGCAGGGACAGGTGCCACCATCATGGGGATGAACCAGGTCCCAGGGCCTTGGTAGGAAACGGACAGGACGAAGTGCTGTCCTGAAGCAGCATCTTGTATGAGGCTCACACATGCTTTGGTGTGTGTGTTTGCATGTGTGTTTCTGTGCATTGCGTTTCGGTACATGTGGGGAAGAAGAATGACATGGAGTGTTGAATTTTATAGTGATTTCTACAAATGTCCATGTGTTGTTGTTTAAAATGAGGGGTGGGTAGGAAGAAAAACCTAAAACTGAGACACAGGAGTATTCACACAATTTGTATGCAGAGGGAGGAGATTATAATGAGAATGGGTGAGGTGACAGTCAGTGAATTAATTATACCACGACTGGGGAACAAATTTAATTTTCGGAGACAAACATAGCTGATGACTTGGAGGGAGCTGACACAATTTTCTGTAGCAAACACTCTGACACATGCATTTCTATCTAACAACCATACAGGGTCTCATGGAAACAAGCAGCAGGTCACGGGACAGGAGTACACTTAGAATAGCAATCATTGTCAACAGGGACTGCTCATCCTTTGTAGCAAATCGTCCAGCTAGGCTATCAGCTTTATGGCAAGATGAAAGAAAAAAAATTAAAATCGACCTTAAATATGTCCTTCAGCTCAAGAATTAATATTTGTAAATTTCTTGAAACAGTGCCTGACTTACAATTAAGTACTGAGTAAGGCTTTGTTAAATGAAAGAAGATAATAAAATAATTAAAGGATAAGCTGCTTATGACTTGTACCTTTATGTAACTAGTCAGTATTCTCCAATCTTATTGTGAACTAAACTGTATCTCCTCACAATTCATAGGTTGAAGCCCTAACCGCAGTGTGACTGCTTGGAGACAGGGCCTACAAGGTAATTCAGTTTAAACAAGGTTGAAAGTGTGGGGCCCTAATTTAATGAGAGTAGTGTCCTTAGGAGTAGAGGAAGAGACGGCAGGGCTGGGTGTGTGCAGGGGAAAGGACACGAGAGTACACAATAGGAAGGCAGCCGTCTGCAGGTCAGGAGGAGAGGCCTCAGGAGAACCAATCTGCTGATACCTAGATCTTGGACTTCCAGCCTCCAGAATGGTGAGCAATATATTTCTGTTAAGTCCCCAGTCTGTGACATTCATTACGACAGTCCTCACAGACCAAGACAGTGTTCCCAAGAACGTTCATGCTACTAAATATTTTTTCACTCGTTCAAGTTTTTCTTTAAATAACAATGTGGCCTTACCTGTGGGTTTTTTTTTTTCCACTGTTGAGTTTTGTTTGTTTTGTTTAATTTTTGCTGTTGGGCCAGTGTGCTTGTCGGAGAGAGGCAGAAAGGCAGAGAGAAAGAAAGTAAGAAAGTATCCCTCACAAGCCTCTGGGTCTGGGACTTGAACTGCACAGTGGAATACAGTCACCTTAACCACCTCTCCCCTCTGTGACAGAAAAGTTCCATCAGAAAAGTCTGGCCTGTAGCCAACAATTCTCAACAGAAGGGAGTATCAGCCACACTCTAGCTTCAAGGCCGGACCTTTCCCCCTCCATCTTGCCCCTGCCACAAAGGTGAACTACTGCTCACCTTAGATCTAACATGCACACTAGGCCATCGCATGTCCTTAAGCTACCCATGCTCACTTAGCATGTATTAGCATTGCAGTTTTAACCCTCTGCCTCCCACCGTGGACTTTCATGATGCATCTGGGAAAATGCAGGTGCAGAAATGTATAAGTTATGTAAGCCCCAGGCTATCCATCAAAAAATGACCCACGAGGAAAAGGAGAGGAGTCACCCAGGAAAGGACAAGGAGAAAAAAACCAGAGCAATTGGAAAGAAACCCAAACAGATAACTCTAGGGCTGGCTGGCCTGACTTCAGCCAGCCTGCTCTCCCTGCCTGAGAGGGTACTTTGCTTTCCTTAGTCAAATATCCAGTTGTCCTAAAAGTCAAGACATAAGTTTTTCTGTTAAAAAATGTGTTGGGACCAGCAGTTAGTGTAATAGCTATGGTTGTTGTCAATGGTGGTTCAAATGTAGTCAACGGTGGTTCAAGTCCCAGACCTGGCAGCTTAAACTCACACCGGGTGCATGTGCATATGTGCCCAAGATCCCAAGAGGAGAATGGAGGAGAAGAGATTGCAGCATGGCCATCTCCCCTGGGGGGTGATTTCTCGCTTTCTGTCTCTCTACCTCTCTCTGTCTTTCTGGTAAGCGTACGTGCCCTATAGCAAAAACCTCTCAGGAAAAAAAAGTGTCATGATTTTCCCAACAACCCAATAGTTTCTATACTGTCTGCACATCTGATGGTGTCAGTGGACACAAGAACTAAAGACCACAATCACCCTGTAACATCTTTATCATCTTCCCTCAAGAAGCAATCACTGTTCTGAATTTGGTATTCGTTATTAGCCTTGTGCATCCCTTCATACTTTCTTTCTTTCTTTTTTTTTTTTTTTTTTGTGAGAGATTTTTTGCTATAGGGCACATGCACTCACTAGAGAGACAGAAAGTGAGAGATCATCCCCTCCCCGGGGAGGGGGGAGGTGGCCATGCCACAATCCTGTCTCCTCCATTCTCTGCTCAGGATTTGGGCATGTATGCACATGCACCTGGCATAAGTTTTAAGCTGCTGGGTCTGGGACTTGAACTGCAGTTGACTATGTGAGAGTCCAGTGACATAACCATTGTGCCATCTGTTGGTCTTGGCTTGTGGTCTTTAAAATCTTAAAATCTGCATACCTGGATCCTTCTGCAGCTGTTCTTGTGCAACCTACTTTTCTCACTGAACTTTAAGTCTTCGACCTTTGCGACAGCAGATGGCATAGCAATTAAGTCTCTGGTCTCCCACATGACCAACCGCAGTTCGAGTCCTGGACCTGGTGACTTCAAAATCACACCAGGCACATGGGCATGTGTGCCCAAGATCCCAAGAGAATGGAGAAGAGGGTATTGCAGTGTGGCCATCCCCCCAGGAGAAAATTTCTCACTTTCCCTCTCATTGTGTCTGTCTGTTTCTCTCTGGTGAGCACGCATGCCCTAAGACAAAAACAAACACAATTCTTTAGGGAAAAAAAAATCCCAACCCTCACCCACTCAGGTACTTCTGCTGCATCCATTTCCCTCTGTAACGTCTGCTGTTGGAACATCCCACAGTCCCTTACCCTGTGTCGAGGCCACTCATTAACTTCTGTCTTCCAACTGCTGCAATGAATAACCTCAAATGGGTCTCCTGATGCTCAGAGGACAGTTCCTCTAGGGACAAGGCCTTCAAATAGTCCTTTACTGTGACATGTAG